TGCTCAAAAAATTCTGTCCCCACAGTAGAAACTGCTAAAACTGAACAGTCAGGTTAGGTCAGTGGGTCTCGTCTGGGGGCAGTTTCTCCCCCGGGAGCATTTGGAAATGTCTGGAGACATTTTTTGTTTCCCCAGCTGGGGGAGGGAGGTGTTACTGGGGTAGCATCTGGGGAGGCTACTAGACTTCATGTAATGGTTGAGACAACACTCAACCAACTAAGCCACACTATGCACAGCCTCCCCCATGATTATTATTATTTTAAATATTTTTATTGATTTCAGAGAGGAAGGGAGAAGGAGAGAGAGAGAAACATCAATGATGAGAGAGAATCATTGATGGGCTGCCTCTTGCACACCCCCTATTGGGGATGGAGCCATCAACGCGGGCATGTGCCCTGACTGGGAATTAAACGGTGACCTCCTGGTTCATAGGCCACCGCTCAACCACCGAGCCACGCCAGCCAGGCACCTCCCCATGATTAACATCCCTCACCCTGGGCCAATGAACCTCACCCAGGTTCATTGTTACAACGTTGAACCTCCAATTGACTCGTTATAATCACCCAGCATCTATAGTTTACCTTAGAGCTCGCTCTCGGGAGTGCCCATCCTGTAGGTTTGGATAACTGTAGGATGCTGTGTATCCATCATTGCAGTATACTTGGGAGTATTTTCACTGACATTAAAGTCATTCGGCCCACCTATTCATGGCGTGTTGGCGAGGAGGGTGGGAACTGGAACCCTCGTGCATTGCTGGTGAGAATGTAAAATGGTTCCACCCCTTTGGACAACCATTGGACCGTTTCTCAAACAGTTACACAGAGTGACTATTGGGAGTATTTTCACTGACATTAAAGTCATTCGGCCCGCCTATTCATGGCGTGTTGGCGAGGAGGGTGGAAACTGGAACCTTCATGCATTGCTGGTGGGAATGTAAAATGGTTCCACCCCTTTGGACAACCATTGGACCGTTTCTCAAACAGTTACACAGAGTGACTAGGTGTTCCAGCAATTCCACTCCTAAGAACGTGCCCAAAAGAAGTGGAGACACATGTCCACCATAAACTTGTACCAGGGTTTCTTCGGGGAAGGATGAAAATCAGATTGTGATGAAGGTTGCACTACCCTGCGAATGTACTAAAAATCAGTGGCGTGTGTACTTTAAATGGGTGAGTTGTATATGTGAATTACATCTCAATTTAAAGCTGGTGTTAAAAAAAGATGAAAACAGACCAAAAAGAATACCACTCTCCCTTCTCGACCACCCATTAGCATTCCCTACCCACCCGTCATCCCGCCTACTCCCCACAATCCCTGGCAGCCACTCGTCTGCTTTCTGCCTCTATGGATTGCCCCTCCCTTTTTTAATATTTCTTTATTGATTTCAGAAAGGAAGGGAGAGGGAGAAGGAGAGAGAAACATCAATGATGAGAGGGAATCATTGATCAACTGCCTCCTGCCTGCCCCCTACAGGGATCGAACCTGCAACCCGGGCATGTGCCCTTGATCAGAATCAAACCCGGGACCCTTCAGTCTGTAGGCTGATGCCCTATCTACTGAGCCAAACCAGTTAGAGCTGGATTGGCCTAGTCTTGACATTTCTTGTAAATGGAATCGTACAACCTCCGACTTTTTATACTTAATTTTTTTGTGTACTTCTTTTTTTAGCTTAATGTTTCCAAGATCCATCCATGTGGTAGCATATCTCAGTACTTCATTCTTCCTTATTGCCTAACTAGAGGCCCAGTGCACAAATTTGTGCACAGGTGGGGGGTCCCTTGGCCTGGCCAGCGCTAGGGACCAATTGGGGCCCCAGGAAATTGGCTTTGGGAGCACACTGACCACCAGGGGGCAGTTCCCGCATTAAGCATCTGCTTCCTGGTGAGCAGTGCGCATCATAGCGACTGGTCACTCAGTTGTTCGGTCGTTCGGTCTCTTAGGCTTTCATATATATATTTAGACTAGAGGCCCAGTGCATGGATTTCGTGCACCAGTGGGGTCCCTCGTCCTGGCCTGCGCCCTCTCATAATCTGGGACCCCTCGGAGGATGTCGGACTGCCCGAGGGATGTAGTAGTTCATGAAGCAGCAGGCAGCCAGGGAGGAGCCCAGGCCAGGCCAGACACCGCTCCACTCCTGGCCCCACTGCGCCTGCCGCCACTGCCGCTCGGTAGCACACTGCCTTGGGAGCACACTGACCACCAGGGGGCAGTTCCCGCATTAAGCATCTGCTTCCTGGTGAGCAGTGCGCATCATAGCGACCGGTCACTCACTTGTTTGGTCGTTCGGTCTCTTAGGCTTTCATATATATATATATATGTAGACTAGAGGCCCAGTGCATGGATTTCGTGCACCAGTGGGGTCCCTCGTCCTGGTCTGTGCCTTGTCATAATCTGGGACTCCTCGGAGGATGTCGGACTGCCCGAGGGATGTAGTAGTTCACGAAGCGGCAGGCAGCCAGGGAGGAGCCCAGGCCAGGCCAGACACCACTCCACTCCTGGCCCCGCTGCGCCTGCCGCCACTGCCGCTCGGTAGCACACTGCCGTGGAGGCAGGAGAGACTCAGACTACCATAGCTGCACTCGCCAGCCGTGAGACCAGCCTCTGGCGCCCATCAATCAGCTGAGCGGCACTCCCGCTGTGGGAGCGCACTGACCACCAGGGGACAGCTCCTGCGTTGAGCGTCTGCCCCCTGGTGGTCAGTGCACATCATAGTGACCAGTCAAACGGTCGTTCGGTCATTGGGTCACTGAGGCTTTTATATATATAAATGGTATCCATGGTATGGATGTCCACACTTTGTTTATCCATTTATCAACTGAAGGACACGGGGGGCTATTTCCACTTTGGGGAGCAAGCGTTTGTGTGGAGAGAGGTTTTCAGTTGTCTTGGGCGCATACCCAGGAGTGAAGTTGCTGGATCCTGTGGTAACTCTGTGTTTGTGAAACTCTGCCAGACTGTTTTCCAAGCTGCCTGCACCATTTACCAGCCCTCCAGCACCTGGATTTTTCAAAAACATTTTTATTGATTTCAGAGTGGAAGGGAGAGGGAGCGGGAGATAGAAACATCAGTGATGAGAGAGAATCATTGATCAGCTGCCTCCTGCATACCCCCTACTGGGGAC